ATTCAATGTAAATATTATATAATAAATACGTTTTCAATTGAACTGCAATAGTTGTGTGCCTGTAAATTTCAGTTTGAGCTACTGAGCTGTGTAAATGACAAACTTTTTTTTCCAACAGAGCAGCTAAGAATAAGCAGGTAAACATGATAAAAAGAGTTTAAAACTTCACCCACTGGCTGGAAATATATTTATCTTCAGAAATATTTATATTCCGTATTTAAAATTTACCTGACAAAAATAAGTAAACATATTTTTAGTTCCACACATAATGAAGTAAATATGAAATGAAAACTTTCTCAGATTTACACAGCTTTGTTTGCTTGACGGAGCCTGAAAAAAAAAACCCACTTCTGCTTACACGTTTCACATCTGTATGGATGTATGATCTAGAGTCTACTCTCTACTCCTTCCTGACTTTGCTGGTCTTAATGCCAATTTGTAAAGAAAAAGTATTGTTGCCTAGGCACACGGGGGACTTGCATTTATTTCAGCAAGCTCGATGCTTGGGTGAAATACCATCACGATGGATTACTTTATTTTCTTGGCTCAGCTGATGACTTTCCGCCCAACATTTTTATTTAAAGACTCATCGAGCAGCCTCACATGGGGGGGATTATTTATGGGGATCCAGGGTGTTGTGCTGCAGGTACTTTGGTGATTAATACAGGGCGCTAAGTGACAACTCTGCAGCTTTTCAGGATTGTTCACTAGTCACTTTTCTAAAAATGCTGGATCCTCAGAAAACGTAAAGTTTATAGCTCAGAACAAGAGATAAAGCTGGTGCTGCCAGAACTTGGTTCTCTTCCCCATGAATTAACACGCTGGATTTAGGCATGTTGAATTAATTTATACAACAGCCTGTCTTCCTTTCATGGCTTTCAAATGACATGCTTGCTGATGGCTGGTGTAATTAACAGAATGCAACCCATCAAAGATTTGTGGTGCGCAAAGGCAATTAGTTTACTTTGTAGTGTTTTTATTTTATTGTCTCCCAATTAATATCATGCCTTTTACAATAAATTATAATCTTCTCAATCAGTTATGTATAAAAATATATAATTATTTGCACAGCTGAAGTTTGTGTTAGATGTTTTGCCATGTTCTTGTGTTGGGACTACTTTGGGCAATGCTGCCCAATGCTGCTGGTGTGAACAATCCCTGATAAATGGGTTAGTTTTCAATTAGTTCTAATGGTGAGCTGAATCAGGTTTGAAGCCGAGGCATAAGCTTCACGTTCATGAAAAGAATTGTGGATAAAAAATTAAAGAAATAGCCTGTTAGGAATGTATTTTATTCAAAAATTCTGAAAGATTAGAGGTAGTCCCTTATGTTGGAACAGAACCTGTCAGACATATCTTAAGTATTGGTTCACATCAATGGACTTGGGAACTTTGGCATGGATTCATTTATAAGGAGAGATTATCACACACACTTTTGGCCATATAGTGTATATAGTGTATCCTGGCACCTTAAATCTAAAGAGGTGTGCTCTTCACTGTGGAGATCCTTGTCCTGCAACAAGAGCCTTGTAGTATCATTCCTCTTACTGTAGCAAGGCACGTTCTAAGTTCTTTAGTCTCCTTGCAACTTGGGCAGCCGTTGGTCCCTGCACCTACCTTGTAATATTTTCAGAGTGCCCCAGGAGCCAATCTGTACTGTTATAAAAATGCTTGGCTCATCCCAGGTCTGCACTTGGCCTTGCTACCTTCTTCCTCCTCTGTCTCGCTATTGGACATTAAAGTGACTTTGTTAGGAGGTCAACAATCGATATGCTTTTCGCACTCAGTTTTGGCTGCCCGGATTTCTAGTTTGCACAGTATTTTGTACAGTATTATATTACAGTACAGTATTGTAATACATTTTATATGAATATTTTTGGGTTGTGGAACGAATCATCTGAATTTCCATTATTTCCTATAGGGAAATTCGCTTTGATATACAAGCGCTTTGGAATACATGCATGCTTCCGGAACGAATTATGCTCGTAAACCAAGGTATTACTGTATTCACTTTGTAACAGATACATTTTAACACCCCAGGCTAGTTGAATGACAGTTCCCTTTGCTGGCTGTTGTGGTTCCTCCTGTTGGCTGTTGTGGTTCCTCCTGCTGACCCTTAGTCACTGCAGGACACAATAGTGGTGTTGGGGTTGATAGGGGAACCACAGTGGCCAGCAGGGGACACAGTATTCAACACACCCAGCAGTGTGACATCAGATTGGTGCTGGGAGCTCTGCTACAGAGTGAAGTTTCAGCAAACGGGTTGACGGACAGGTATCTTTATTCTAGCGCCTTTCCAATTTGACCCCCTGACCGCGCCACTTTAAGAACACGCAGTACACTTATATTTTATTATTATATGTGTGTGTCAATATTATTATTATGCTCATCACAAGAATATGTCTTATTTCCTGGAATGCTCCCTACTTCTAAATAAAATATTTGTATACAATAATAAAATATAATGTACATATATTGCTAGTAGTAGTTATTTATCACGTGACTCCGGGGTAAATTGTTTATCCCCTGCAAACCCTGTGGAGGTCCTATTATTAGATTTGAGGTCGTAATGAACGATTGTTGGATCAAGGTGACATATGGACAGATAAATTGCTGTCGAGTTTGAAGTGCAGCCCCCAAGAAGGAGAACAGCTTGTAAACGTTGGGCTGGCGTATGTGTGTTTAATTAACTTTGGATGCAGGTTGAATTTGTACATCAGCACAAGCAGGTGGCATAACAACTGAAGCCAAAATCATCACTCTTTAAAAATGACTGGTTCTGGTTTCCTGGTCTGTAAATCTAAACTCAGATGTGTGTAGCAAGTTTAACAAAGGAATTGATCGCTTGGCACTAGGATTTTTTCGCAGTGCAGCACAATGCAAAGACAGCTAGGTGGAGTGTTTAATGTATGCCATGGACCTGGAAAGTGGGTGTTGATATCAGAAAATAAGCTGTCATTTCTTTAAAAGCACAACTCCAGGCAATCAGCTAAACACATCATTGAAATACACATATAGGAAAATGTAAATCTGTTCAGCCAGTCTTGTGATGAAGTTTACTAATGAGCAACAGGGCCTGAGCTACTATAAATATACACTATATTGCCAAAAGTATTGGGACACCCCTCCAAATCATTGGATTCAGGTGTTCCAATCACCTCCATGGCCACAGGTGTATAAAATCAAGCACCTTGGCATGCAGACTGCTTTTACAAACATTTGTGAAAGAATAGGTCGCTCTCAGGAGCTCAGTGAATTCAAGCGTGGCACCGTGATAGGTGGCCACCTGTGCAATAAGTCCATCTGTGAAATGTCCTGGTTACTAAATATTCCACGGTCACCTGTTAGTGGTATTATAACAAAGTGGAAGCAACTGCGAACAAAAGCAACTCAGGCACGAAGTGGTAGGCCACGTGAAATGACAGAGCGGGGTCAGCGCATGCTGAAGCGCACAGTGCGCAGTAGTCAACAACTGTCTGCAGAGTCAATAGCTACAGACCTCCAAACTTTGTGTGGCCTTCAGATTGGCACAACAACAGTGCATAGAGAGCTTCATGGAATGGGTTTCCATGGCCGAGCAGCTGCATCCAAGCCTTGCATCACCAAGTGCAATGTAAAACATTGGATGCAGAGGTGCAAAGCACGCCGCCACTGGATTCAAGAGAAGTGGAGACGTGTTCTCTGGATTGAGGAATCACGCTTCTCTGTCTGGCAATCCGATGGACGTGTCTGGGTTTGGCGGTTGCCAGGAGAACGGTACTTGCCTGACTGCATTGTGCCAAGTGTAAAGTTTGGTGGAGGGGGGATTATGGTGTGGGGTTGTTTTTCAGGGGTTGGGCTTGGCCCCTTAGTTCCAGTGAAGGGAACTCTTAAGGCATCAGCATACCAAGACATTTTGGACAATTTCATGCTCCCAACTTTGTGGGAACAGTTTGGGGATGGCCCCTTCCTGTTCCAACATGACTGCACACCAGTGCACTAAGGAAGGTCCATAAATACATGGATGAGCGAGTTTGGGGTGGAGGAACGTGACTGGCCTGCACAGAGTCCTGACTTCAACCCAATAGAACACCTTTGGGATGAATTAGAGCGGAGACCGCGAGCCCAGCCTTCTCGTCCAACATCAGTACCTGACCTCACAAATGCGCTTCTCGAAGAATGGTAAAACATTCCCATAGACACAATCCTAATTCTTGTGGACGCCTTCCCAGAAGAGTTGAAGTTGTTATAGCTGCAAAGGGCGGGCCAACTCAATATTGAACCCTACGGACTAAGACTGGGATGCCATTGAAGTTCATGTGCGTGTAAACACAGGCGTCCCAATACTTCTGGCAATATAGTGTATATCCAAATAATCACCAAACATTTAAGGCTTCATGCAGTAAACCTTATTTACAGAGCTAGGGAACTGCTGGCTCTGTGCTTGCATGTTTTGTCAATTTGTTTGCCAAAATGCTTGTCAATTTTTTTTAAAGTCCCCGCCCCCATGTACACGCATATACAAATGCAAACACACATCGGGTGAGTCTTCATGCGAAAACAATTGCACCACACATGTTACATATCACTCTGAACGTTGGTGTATGCAATTTTTAGGCTTGACATGTTTGGTGTCTATTTACCCGACGTGACGAAAGAAATGTAGCAGGATACATTTTGGCCTAAATGTACAAAGAAAGATTATTTATTTGCAATGTTTTCTAACATAATGTAGAAAAAATGTTTTCAAAGTCTTTGGTAATTTTTCTTTTTAATAATAAAAAAACAAAAATCCCCCAGTGGTGAATGCCACCAAAAATAAGCTCTATCTGTCCCAAAAAAATGGTATAAAATTTGTTTCGGTACGGCATTGACTGAATAAATTTCAGCACTGAATACTGAAAAATGACCGGGACAGGAAGGGAGTTTAACACCCCGGTCTTCAAGTGGTTAATAATCTACTTTAAGAATTCTGATGTTTGTACACTTGTTGGTGACATATATAATTCATTTGTTTTTCAGACATTCTCTTTTTGAAGATGCCAGTGAATATTTTGATAAAGAGACCGGAGTATTGGAGGTCCCTGTGACAATATCAGTGGTTGATCAGGTCAGTTTAATTAACAATGTATCCCAAATCAAAATTGGGGTTTGCGTACAAGGGCACAATTCTTTTGCCCGAGATTATGCGCATACGTTCTGCTCCTCTAAGGATTGACATAATCTGGTGTGTGCTGTATACATTGTCCATGTACCCTAGTACTGAATATATCTGTCAGCAAGCAAGGCATAGGTCACGCTGGATTTTCAACAAAGTAGTACTCCAGCCGAAACTTTTTTTTACATTGGAAAAAATGGGAGAGGGTTTGAATCTCTTGTCAGGTTTCTCTTGCAGCCTGCTTGGCCTTTGCTGAAATTTCCCCTCTATCAACAGGTGCACTTTTTCTTTTTGCCCCCTTCCCTTCACCTAAACAATCGCACCCGCACCCTCTGAAGATCTCTACTTACTGAGATCCAAGGGCCACTGCTCTGCTGTTTGTTGACATCCAAGTACTGCAAGTTTCCTTCTCCTGGCCGAATCCATTTCTTGGCTGGCAGGTGACCCCATAGAAATCTATAGGCTGTAATATGCACGTGTGGCCAGCAGAGGGAGCATTGCGATGAAAACAATAGCAGAACTGTGCCTGTTGGATCTTGGTAAGTATAGATCTGTGGACGGGGAGGGTGGGAACCTTTAGGGATAATTTTTTCCTTCCAATAGTGGAAGGGAAAAAAGCATAAGCACATTTTGCTTTACAGTGTGCTTATCCTTTAAGGAATAAACCTGTTTCAGACACTTCTTATGTAATCATCGGCTACCTGGCTTTCAGGTCACCTATTAGTTTCTGAACAGTAGCACTTTTCGCAGCTTCACTTTACGTGAAGCAGCATATGGCCGCTCCATCAGATGTGAGAGATATTTGATTTGTGAAAGATTTGCAGTCATATTGTATGATTTGAATCACCAAGTCAGAGTAATAGAGTAGCTAATACCAAGATAATTAACTCAGGAAATCCATTGCTACATTTTGTTACAGTTATCTCTGGAATCCTTCCCGATCTCATTAGTCCGCTCAATTAACGCAGTCATGATAATTCTAGGTTTAGCAGCTCCCATCGACAAAGTGGAGGCTCTCCATTATGCCTCTGTATGAATTCTAGCAGTGAACTGAATCAGATTGTGGGAAGGATTATTCCTTCTCGTTTATTTATCTACTAATACAGACAGTAAGGCTTTTCTGGGAGCAAGGAAATATATGCAAATAAATTTCTCATTTTATGTGATGATCAGACCTTGCATATGAAGGATCATACCTACTATATGTGGAGATTAGTTCCAGCCTCCTAGTTCCAGCCTCCTTGTAGCCTCCTATCAGAGAAGTGTAAAGCTGGCAATACCCCAGTAGTATTTTTTTTTTTAAAGGGTTCAATAACAGCAGCAATCTGGGAAATGGAAGTGCAGCACTAGGAGACAAATAGGCTCTGCAGCAAAAATTGTTTGCTGGCAGGAGAAAAGAGCACAGTTCTGGGCTTATCAATGTGGTAGAACAACAAAACAATGGGGCTTTAAAAGTGTCTATTAGAGAATGTGGGATAACACGGCTAAACCTATTGACACAATATAGTGGGTATTCATATGTATAAAAAACATTTAATTCCATAATCTCAATATAGTTAAAAACATTTAATTTGATCTACAAAATTACAAAAATAGACAGATTTAAAGATAAATAAATAAATGAACCTCCCTGGACTCCGTGCCGATACATGATATACATAATTTTAATATATTCCATAATTTAGGTCATGCATTTCCTAAGCAATATCTTTAAAACATTTCTTTTTCCTCTTACATCCTGTTGCTTTTAAAGGGGAGGGATTGATGGGAACGCGTAGAAGGCCAGATTAGTGCAGTCACAGATGAAATAATGAATAATATGATTGCTTTGAAATTTTTTAAAGATATTGCTTAGGAAATGCATGACCTAAATTATGGAATATATTAAAATTATGTATATCATGTATCGGCACGATACATGATATACATAATTATACAAAATAATCTGGTGCTCCACCACTGTCCTGAAATTATTAGTCTGTATTGTTTTAGAACAACTGTCACATGACAATAAACAAAAATGTATCAGTACTTGTAAGTACTAGCTTGGGCAAGTACCAGTACTTGCAAACATGGTATTGGTGAACCCCTTTATTTATATTTATAAAAACAAAATGATACATTAAAACAGATGTACAAATCCCAGGAGCTCCCTGTGCTCCTTACAAATGACAGCTGCCTCCTAACGTTTGAGTTTTTCTCTAGTCTAGTCTTGGAGCTGGAAAAGTATCTGTTCTTTTACTTGTACCGAGTATGGTACTTGTATCGGTGCATCCCTAGTACAGACCCACCCTCTCCATGTCTGATGACTGCTGTAAAGAGGTTTAATGGGCAGGAGGCTGATATAAAGACAGATTCAGATGCTAATTCTTGCTGCAATTGAAATTACATTCCATGATTTTAATAAATTTTGTAGTGTTTAAACTTACAAGGGTATAATTCTAATCAACTTTCCAATTCAGGCATTGCGATGAGGAAAATGAAAGCTCAAAATGCAAAATATTTCTAATTTTCTATATATACAAACAAAATTCTAACTGTGAATGTGATTTTTGTTCATAAAAAATTGTAGATATTGTAATGTGCATGTGCTAGGCACAAAATACGCCTGTTTAATACGTCTGGGTTGCTCCCTGCAGAGAGCAGTGGCTGTCAGTCACCGCTCCGCAGGAATCCCCCCTCCCCCCGATCCGATCCTCCAGCACTGAGTGGAGGAACGATCAGGGGAGCGCGCGGGCACAGCTGGCTCTGCCTCTAGATAGGCAGAGCCCGCTGTCATTCACGCAGCTGGGTGGATCTCGACAGTATTGTCGGGATCCATCCCGGCTGCAGCGCTCTCAGTATATCGCGGGCTGTCTCGGGAGGCTAATACCCTAAAGAGAACTATGGGGAAAAACACTTACCCCATAGTTCTCTTTTAAGTAGCAGGTCTGGACAGAATTTTTAAGGGCTTTCGAATGAAATGAGTTGACTCAATGATGGCAAGATCGAATGCTCTGATGAACGAATTCAAATAAACGTTTGAATGAAATTCTAACAGTGTATGGGCAGTGTAAGTCATCTGCCCTCTAATGAACTCTAGTAAAGCACAAAGCCCTATAACCACCATTTAACAGTCCAGTAAAAGAGACTTGGAAGCTTGAATAGAAGGAATGGGGGCTTACTGATTTGAAGGTTATCACACATTAATGGACCACATTACAGCAGTTCCATAATTTAGCTAGTTTTTAGTACCTGCCAGGTTGGCATTGAAGTAAAAGAATGAAGCAATGATAGCTAAGATGTGTTAATGTTTTCTTTACATTTTTTGTTTTCAGACCCGACCTGTTATCTTTACTGTTCATGCTATTGTGACCACATCAGACCTGGAAATCAACCCTACTGAAGTGGATTTTGGGTACTGTACAATCTTTGAGTCAGTTCAGACATCTATTCAATTAACAAACAAGTCTATCCTGTCCCAGGAGTTTGGATTTGTGGGAATCCCAGAGGTAAGCATTTATTTAATATAGGTATTTATATAGTGCTGGCAGTTTACACAGAGCTGTGCATACTGCACATTCACATCAGTCCCTGCCCTCAAGGAGCTTACAATCTCTAAGGTCCATATTGCACACATATACAGGGCCAGTTTACCTTCCAGCATGTCTTTGGAGTTTGGGAGGAAAACAGAGTACCTGGAAGAAACCCACGGAAGCACAGGGAGAACATGTAAACTCCTGACCAGGATTTGAATCGGGGAGAAGGCAGAAGTGCTAACCATTAAGCCACAAAGGTTTTGTAGGCACGCAGTAACATACAAATGTGCATACAAATCAACAGTTAAATCTAAAAAATCGAGTCTGAAACATACCGTATATACTCGAGTATAAGCCGTCCCGAATATAAGCCGAGGTACCTAATTTTACCAAAAAAAACTGGGAAAAAGTATTGACCCGAATATAAGCCGAGGTTGGGAAATGAGGCAGCTACTGGTAGATAGATACCAATAAAATTACATTAATATTTATTTAAAAGAAAAATAACCTAGCTCTGTAAGTGGAAAAGGGGGTACAGGGCTACATATCATGTACTACGGATCATTTAACCCATTCATATTAGCAGAGGATAATTGTAAATCTATTGTTCAGTGCATTCTATATGTAGTATATAGTACATGTACATATAGAGTGCCTGCAACAATACATTTACAATGATCCTCTGCTAACATGAATGGGTTAAATGATCCATAGTACAGGGCTACATACAGATCATTTAATACATTCATGTTAGTATAATTGTAAATTTATTGTCTGCACTGTATTAGCAGTATATACTCTATATGTAGTATATACTGCTAATACAGTGCAGACAATACATATATAATTGCTTAGATTCATCTCTCTCTCTACCCCC